TCCCTCAAGGTGTCGACGCCGGAGCGCTACTCCAACGCCACGGGCGTCTACACGGTCGGCACCGTCGCGCACCCCTACACGCTGCAGACGCTGTCGAGCGGCCGCGCCTCGCTCGACGTGCACTGGCTCCGCCGCCGCTCGGTCCGCGACGCCTTCCTGGGCACCGTCATGAAGGGCGTCGTGCCCGACGCAGTGTCGTCGGGCGCCCGCGTGCTGCGCTTCAAGGACGCCGTGGCCGGCGAGGCCGGCGCCGGCCGCGCGCTCTGGATCCCCGCCGAGCGCGACCTGCCCGACGACCTCGAGTGGCACTTTGGCTTCCCGCTCGGCAACGCCACGGCCGCCGGGGCAGCGGCGGCCCTGGTCGTCGTCGACGGCAGTGGGCCCACCACCACCACCACCACCACCACCACCACCACCAACCCATCAGACCCGAGCGAGGTGGGCCTGCTGGACAAGGCCAAGAAGATCCGGTTCAGCAAGGAGCCGGCCGACCTGGCCATCCGCGCCGCCGTCGAGGCCTGGAACCTGGCCGACACGGAGGCCTGGCGCTTCGCGAGGGCCTTTGTCGAGCGCTCCGTCGTCGAGCGCCGCAAGTGGGAGGACGAGGAGAGCAAGTACGCCGGCGGCGTCGGGTCCGACAAGAGCCGCCGCGAGAGTTCTACTGGTGATGGTGGTGGCACGCTCGGCAGGTGGTTGGAGAAGGAGTGAAGGGTTGCGGCTGGAATAGGTAAACCCAGCAGCCCGTGCAAGCGCATGAAACCAGCAGGATTTGATCATCAGCGGAACTATGATGATTAGCGTTTTTTTTTTTTTCTGTATTTTTGGAGCCATATCCGGCCGGAGTCGAGGTTTTTGTTTCTGGCTTTTGTGTGACGGCACCGGCAGAATACATCAGGAGTTTATCGAGAGGGGGTATGCTATGCTTCCTAGATGCAACAAGCAACGAAAATACCTAGGTAGTCGACCGGCGGCCGAACTTGTCTACGGACTAAGCGGACGGACCGAGACACGCAGCTAAAAAGAGTGTGTTTTGTACTCTGACAATCTCTGGCTACAAAGTTGTACTAAAGCGAGTGTGTTTTGTTACTCTGTCAATCTCTGGCTACAAAGTTGTGCTAAAGCGACTGTGTCCTCCAGTTTACTAAAGCGACTGTGTCCTCCAGTGCTCTGGTTCATCCTTTTCCATCGAACGTACCATGTCTCCCCATTCAGCATCACGCATCCACGCCTTGCCCCCCTCACAAACACTACCACCACCACCACCGTCCTCCCTCCCCAACTGCTCTAGACGCAGGTCGTCGTCGTCGTCGTCGTCGTATCTCGGCCCATCTCGCCCGACATCTTGCGGGGACTCACGCCGCTGGTGGTGGGAATACACGCCCCCCGCCACGGTGTCGGATTCCGGACTCAAGGGCTGATAATAATAAACGCACCGTTTCCCATCCCCTCGCACCATCCGCCTAACCGTCCCGCCGCTGCCGCGAATTCCAGCAATGTACGACATGAGCGCCTCGGTCGCGGCCTCGACGGCGAGCTCGGCCTGGCGCAGGGCGTCTCTCATGGCCCTGGCGGTCATGTCGTCTTGACGGTCTTTGCCGAGGGAGCCGCCACCATTGCCGTTGCGGGACGGCCCCGCCACCGCCTCCCGCTCCCGCTCCTCCATCATGTCCAGCACGTGGCCGTTGACCCAGCGGCCGGCGAGCTGGCGCGCCGGCATGTCGGCGGCGCCGCGGATCAGGCCGCAGCACGACGCGGTCCCGCACTGGCACTCGAAGGGCTGGGCCATGGACCACTCGGTCGAGGGGTAGAAGAAGGTGAGCTCGTCGCCGGGCTGGAGGCCCTTTGGCCCGGCTAGGATGTTGAGGTTGGCCGTGTCGAAGATCTGGAGGGTGTGGGGGTGTGTGTGTGTGTGCATGTGTTAGTCTCTCGCAAGTTATCTTCACTGTGGTTTGCTACAAACTCACCAGCGAAGGCTCGCACGAGTGGTTAATGTACACCAGGTCGCTGTTGAGGTTCAGGTGCCTGTCGCGCCCGACCTGCACCGTCGCGTACGTGGGCCCGCCGACGGCCACGGTGCAGGGGGGCGAGGACATCTTGGCAAAGACGGCAAAGGGCGGCACCTCCACGCGGGAGCGCGACAGCGACGTGAACTCGGCCTCGTTGATCTCCACCTCCTGGATCTCGGGGTGCGAGGGCCGGGCCCAGTGGGGGATAATGGGAGCCATTGTGTCTGAGACGTGTGCAAGGGGGGGGATGAAGAAGATGGAAGATGGGGTTCCGGCAGGGCAGAGAGAAGGCGAGGGGTGTGCCGGCTATTTCAAGGTTTCTTGGGCGGTAGGATGGGATGTTTGGTGGCGGGCAGTGTTTGTCGTCGTCGAAGAGTAGGGGATGTTGGCCAGCAAGTAAGTGCGAGGTTGCCAGGTCGGGGTGGGTGTCTCGGGTTGGGAGCAGGAAGTGGTGGGCTTGGACAAAAAGCCGCGGAAAAGAGACAAAGAGAAGTAGGTCTGGGCCGGCCGTGGAACCGCCATCAGCAAGCCACCCGCCGCGGTGCTCCCACGCCTTGTGATCCATTTGCGCCGCCGGCGAACCTTGACACTGGCCCACGGCCTCGCGGATCCGCCACGGCGACCCAGCTCACGGTCTGGGCGAGGCCATGACATGTGCTTTTCGCGGGGTGAGGCTTTATTTGAGTCTTGGGGCTTGGTGGAGGGAAGGTGCCCCTCCTGTCATGTGCTGCCTGACAGATGCTAGGTCCCCTTGCTTCCCCACTCCCCACTCGGCAGCTGCGATTTCGTGCACTTGGCCTTGGCTGCATCTGCCCGAGACCCGAGACCCGAGGAGAGAATGAAAAAAAGAAAAAAAAAGTTGTTTCTGACCTCGGCCCGACTTGCCTGTCGTGTCGCTCGCTTTCTTTGGAGCCCGCGCCAACCGGAATGCAAGGGGTTCGTCTTGCATGAGCTCTCAGCTTCTGAGCTGCTTCCTCAGTTAGCGTCGACTTCCACGGTGGCTACTGCCGATTGGCTGATGCCGACGCACGACGCCAAGTCACCCTAGCTTTGGGTCGCGTCAGGGAGGGGAGCCTAGTACAGTATGCAGCGAAACCATTGCCAACACTTCCCGATTCCACGAGCTTTTGCCACACCGGCTGCCCTTTCTCGGTCAGTGCTGGCATCCAGTAAAATTCAAAAAGCAACTAGCGTGCTAGCCTTGTCGGTCAAGGCCAACTAACGAACCTGGTGCCGCATAGACGTCACTCCACGGAAGCCGTCCACTGGTGGCTTGCTCTCCGTGTGCGGCTGGGCCCGCCGGATAGCTTTCCGAGCCAACATGAAATACAAGTTCGAGCCCATGACAAGCATCGCGACACGAGCAATGCCCGCCCAGCCTATCTACGCAGCCAGAAGCGCGACGGCCGTGCCCCCGCCGCCGCCACGCGCATATTGGAGCCCAGTGCGTGTAGCGTGGGAGTTGGGGCCGCGAGGCAGTGTTACGGGGGACGGGATTTAAAGTGTGCAAAGGGTATACTACAGCCCCAGGTGTGCTGCTCATGGGCTGTTGAGCCTCGTGTCGGCAATATGAATATGCAAACTAATGGCACCATTAGCTGCAGTGGCCTTGGAAAGGCACAAGATTCCGAGGTTATTTCCCCATGATGGCCATGTCGCTGTTCTCCTGTCAGTCTTTTCGACTCGGGCGGCGTGGGATCCTCGCCCAGCGTTCGGCAGAGCGGGCAGTTTCAGCCGCACCTTGGCCAGTGACGCGTTGCGCGTATCTGACCGGGTATGCTTCGCGGTCAGCCGGCTCACCGAGGGTTTTGGACGCACCCCGGCGGCGCTCTCCCATGTAAAACCTATCCTATCACTTTTGGAACCAGGGGTTCGAGCTGCAAAAAGTCCCCAAGTGGGCCTCCTGCGAAGGCTCATTTTCGAGATAACTCCGAAGCCCGCCCAGCATCATCCCGTAGAGGACGGCCGAGATATTAGACAGGGGCGACGGGTCATCAGGTGCAAGTTTTGCAGCTTCTTTGTAGGCCTTTTCGGCTGGCGATGGGGGAGGTCGCGTTAGCTCGAGTGAGCACATTGCCCACATGAAAGGTTGCAGGGGCCAGCCCCCGAGAACCCCACTTGCCTTAGGTAGTAAGGGGATGGGGCAAGTTTCGACAGTTGGGAAAAAGCCGAGCTCAAATCCAGCGCTGCGGCTTTATCGCAGAGCAGAAGCAAGCTCCCCATAAAGTTCTGCTTCTTTTATAAACGGGGCTCGACGAGTAAAACGGGGCGGAGGAGGGCGTGCTTGAGGTGCTCACGTTTCTCGCGGCGACGGCACACATCAAACTGTGCGTGTCGACGCGGCCCCGGGGCGTCTATTGATGGTGCGTTCAACCTGCCGGTCAAACGCCCTGGTTATATGTATAGCTATACCACGGACGATATCCAGAGGCATATTCCCAAGACGCTGCTGGAAAAAAAAACATGTTTGGCAAGTTGGACCCCGGGGAGTCGTCAGGGGATCATAAAAAAAGATTGCCCAGCAAGCTGGAGCGTCTGGCTCCGGGTGTGCCTCGTCATCCGGGGACATGGGCATGGTCGTCAACCGCAACGAGCCAGTCGAGAGGCTGGAACAGATCATGTCCAACCTGCCAGGTGATCTGGAAGCCTAGTTTGAGCGCATTATCCAGAGAATTCATAGGAGCTTCTGGCAGGAGATGGCTGAGACATTCCTCATAAATATCGAGGAGGTCCAGCCACTCCCACTGTTCGCCGTGCAAGGTGATGCTGCGGCTGCTCCAAGGGCCTCCCAAAGGGCCGCTTTCTCGGAGGAGATGTCGTTTAGCCGCGTCATCCGGCTCGTCGACGGACGAACCTGCTCTACCACGCGCACAAAGGTCGAGAAGCCAAGCGGCAACGACGAGGGAAACGTGCTCATGGGGCCGCAAAGCAAAGAGAGGCCGTACCTCGACTACGCCCTGCGCCCCCCGCTGCGCGTCACGCCCGTCACAGGATGCCGTACCACTCGGTCCGCCCGTCGACAGCTGGGACAACTCTGATGAGAAGCGGCCGCGGTCCGTTCACCAAGTGTTTGGGCCAACTCTTCGGGGGAAACGGGCAGGCGGGCCGTGTTGTCCCGGATGATGGAGGAGGAGGCACAGGCTCGACGCGGGGACCTCCTGGTTCTCTAGGGAGGGCTTGGCATGGAAGATAGCTTGGAGCGCCTTCTCTACTCGGACGTCTTGAGACTGGCATATCGTAGCAAATGATGCCCGTGGGAAGTTGTGAGACTAGAATGTTCAGCATGGGGAAAGTCTATCATTGTGTTGGTAAAACTAAGCGAGAAAAAGTGCCCATGCGGCATGGAGGAGAAATCGATGCATCCCGCAGGCTTCCCTAAAGCCAGCACTAGGGGAGTGAAGAACAGTAAGAGGAATACGGTCCCGCGTCCTTACAGCCCCGTCGTCCTTACAGCCCCGCCGTCCTACTCGCACCCAGATCATCTTCTCGGCCTTCAAGCTCCAGAACAACCGCCTGTCCATCATAGAAAGGGGGAAGGGGGAAGGGAAGGGGGCGTGCAGAAGGCGTGCGTGCTTTCTCTGCATGCTTTGGGCTGATTTGCGGGCGACCCTTGAGCTCTCATCCGTTGTACCGCGACATCATGTCACATGCACCTCGACTGTGCCCTGCTGTAGGCCAAAGGCATTTCCCTGCCTGCGGTTGCAAACGCGAGTTCCGTACCCGAATGGGAAAACGATCTCGGAAAGATCAAGCAGTATGCCGTTCTTCCAGTTGCCCAGGAACCAGGAGTAGGGAAACTCGAACCCAATGAGCGACAAAAAGCCCATGGACACGGAGATCCTGCGGCGATTCGCTTCTTTGCGCTCCCCCAAATCGCCCTCGTCGTCGAGCTCGTCCTCCTCGATGTATTCGTACACCATGGCGAAGTACTCCCGACCTGGCTGCGGAGGCGGGCGGCGCAGACCGAGCCACACGAGGACCGGGGGCCGGTTCTTCCGATGCCCAAAGCTGTCCATGGTCAACTTCAGCCAGCCAAAGCACTGCCTTGTTCTGTGCATCCAAAGCTGTTCGACCGTGAGATCCATGTCGTCCGGAATGCGTGGCTTTTTGCGGCCTTCCTCGGAAAACGCATAGAGGTTCTCGATGGCGTTGGCTCTGGTGTCGGTGTAGTCGTATAACCGAACCGGACCGTGGTCGCGTAACGATGCCTCCATCATTTGCAGGACGGCAACGTTCTGGCATTCGCGTTCGGGAGCCCAGTAGGTGGCCACGTCAGGACGCTCATCATCCCAGAACTTGGCGTGGCAGTTAGAAGTCAGTTGTCAGTTGAATGTTGGATAGGCGGGGGAGAGGGAAGAAATGAGTGGCGGCACACCATTTTCAGGACGAAAGGGCCTTGGTCACCGAACGCGACCTTCCAGCAGTAGCCGTCCTGGCCGCCGCCCAGATGCTCCAGCCACCGGATGTCCTTCAGGTCAAGCGTGGCTTTTCGAAGCATGGGATGCCGCAAGTCCTTCCATGAGTAGCTGGGTGGGCCTGTCATAGGCGTGTCCGTGTAGAACGACTTTGGCGGCCGGCGTGGCTTCTCCGGAGCGGGGCGTGGAGGGGAAGGGGGAGAGGAAGAGGAAGAGGAAGGGTTGAGAACCCTCAGGGCAAGCTCGGAGGCGGACATGACGTGCGGCTGGCGATGGTGAGGATGGTGGTGTGTTGGTGTGTGAGGTATCCCGTTTAGGCGATACCGGATTGGGAAAGTGCATGTCTGTTTCTGGCTCCAGCGGGTGCAGAATGCTCGTTGTGCGGACCAGGTCTATCCATCGGGGTGGGCTGTGCACTCACGTGCCCTACGCCTCACCTCATACAGTTGGCAGCGGCAGTGGTGGGGAGCGGTCGAGAATGGAATGCTTTGGTTTTGAGATGGGCAGTATATATCAAGCGAGCTGGTTTGTTATGGATCCGTGCACTAGCGTGACCTAGTGGCAACCACGGCGATGATTCTCTCTAGTCTATCGCACGTGACTGTGCCTGCGGCACTGCCTACCTACGTGCCCGTCATGGCATGTTAGCGTCAGTCCATGTGTTAATTTATAGATATCCGTTCCCGACGGCCGCGTACCTTGCCAGCGATCCAGAAGATTCCACTTCCGGACTTGAGTCAGTCCCGGAAAGATGCGTCTCCTCGGACAAACAGCCACTCGCTGGTGTACTTGTTTGATTGAGGAATGCGAAGAGCCGACGTTGCAGGTCCTGGAAGAAGAGGATGTCCAGGATAGTTGCCTGCCGCTTGCTCGCTTTCCTTTCTGCGTCGAGGCATTCTAGCCTTTCTTTGAGAGCTGCCAGCTCGACTTGCTTGTTTGCCGCTATTGCGCCTATGTTTTGCTGGATTTGATCGAGTTTGAACTCGGCCTTGATGCCATGATTCTAATACATCTCCCTGGGGGCTTAATCTTTATTACCACGGCTTGAGTGGTTATCCCTAGCGAACAAACTATCAAGCTCGTGGCATTCGACACTTGTTGGACTTCAGGAAATTAAGGAACAGGTCTCACTGCCGGGTTTGCTACTCACGCTTGCGATATGGCACTGACGTGTCTTATGCGGCTATCCATGGACTCCAGACGACCCCCGAGCTTGCCGATATCCCCTTTCCTGAACTGTGCCGTTGACGCGATCCGGGCTCCTTCCCAGCCCCTGAACCTGGCCCACTTGGTACTTCCAACTTCAGAACCGCCGCATGCAGCTTAGTGTGCAGCTTCTCGGATTCGGAGATAAGCGACGATAGATTCTTCCACTGCTCGGTGGCTGATAGGTCCTTGGAGGCTTGGTCACTTTTGCGCCTGATATCGCCGAGAATGTGGTCTAGCCCTCCCAGATTCGGGACGACGACATCGACACCCTGTCGAGCCGACGCCGCCGCTCTGGTAGCCTTGATGCCGAAGTCGATGAACGTGATAATGCCCGAGATCATGCCGACTATGGTGACGGGGTCCATGGCTGCTACGGCCAGGGGACTGACCTGCAGCAGCGCAGTGATACGACCAACAACCACGGCCAGAAAGGAGGCCAGGGAAAGGAGGGGTAGGAAGGGCAGGTGCCCCTCCCCTCCTTGCTCAAGTAAGCAGGATCTGTCAATCTGTCAACAGATCCACAGATCCAAGTTGGGATCTGTTGGTCTGTCCAGAGCCACAGATCCAAGGCCTGTGAGGCCAAGAAGGGACCTCCGGATCCTAGTATAAGAAGGAAGGGTTTCCTACTGTCCTAAATAGTGCTTGAGAGATGCACTGGCATTAGTCAATCTAAGTTAGCTTCCAAGCATCCCTTGGAACAAGCATTCAGACCGCACCCAAGATCTTTGTGAATCCCTTCAGTCTTCAAGTCACGTGCTACTGTTCAGTGCTCCTCTGGTGCCTTACCTTAGGAGCAGAGGCCTGACTGTAGCACGCAGGAATGGATCACTTGCTGGGTTATACGGTATGAGAAGTTCGGCGTCTGGGTGCCGCTGCTTACCTCCTCGAGAAAAGCGTAGCCTTGCCGGTTTTTATTAGCTTTTTTATTAATTTATTTAGTGTCACAAAGTAGACAGTATATACTGTCATGAGGAAGCCTTAGGCATAGATATCAGATGCCTGAGGCATCGGAAGAGCGGTCCCCCTGCCTGGAAGCGTGTGACGCTTCCAGGCGTCAGGAGGGAAGCTTAGTAAGCAAGGAGGACAGGGAGTCACGTGTATATAAAGGGCAGAGGCCCCTACGGGACCCTGCACTTCAGATCCTTTCCTCCTTAGAGCATATCAACCGGAATAGCCTCAAACCGTGCCTATCCCTTCTACCTGCAACATTTAGTATTTAAATTTTTATTTTTTTATCTTTTATTTTTATTATTTTTATTATTAATTTTTATTATTATTATTATTATTTTATTTTTTGTTTATTTTTAAATAACTTAATTTAACTAACAACGCTGCTGAAAACTCCCCGCCTGACGCCTTCCTCGACATACCCCTTCTCAGTTCGGAACGCCAGCACACGGTGGCGGTGGTAGACTGGGGTAGAAGAGCAAGCCAATTCTGAAGCGCCGAGACGCAACACATGCGGCAGAATTCAGTGGCGGCGTGCTCTAGTCGTCAAACATGAAGAGGGGACAGGCTCTCCGAAACCGCAGCGAAATGATGAGCTGCTTGTTTTTGCTGGCTGTCTCGGTGGCCATGTGTAACGATATAGCATAAAATTCACGAATAAAAACGACGAGAGAATAATTATGGAAGTGGCTGGTGTTGCTCGCTTCGTCGGACATGTTCGCCAGATCATCGGCGATTTCGAACAGCGAATGTTGAAAGCAACATTGAAACAAGATTTCTGCGAGGACACGACCTCAACACCAGCATCCCGCTCCGGCAGCACAACAACGGCTTCATCCGAGTCCATGATCTTGCCTAGTGGCAAGGAGGCGAGCGTTCAAGGCGGACGCCAGAGCGGTGAATCACGTATTCCGTGTTTCGTAGGCAAATATACAGACATCGAACCAGCAGGTATCCAGACGCAGCTGAACCAAAAACCGGGACCGCAAACCCGTCAAGGCTCGTCCGTCAGATCTATGACAAAAAGGTCGCTGCGCCGGTACAGCCGACGCCGCCGCCGCCGCCCATCCGCCCGGGCCTCCTCCTCCTCCTCCTCGCGCATGATGCGGTCCGCCTCCTCCCTCGAGACCTCCACCTCGCACATGTAGCCGGCCGCGCTCCTCCTCGATCTGTACAGCTTCGTCATGTTTCCGTCCTCTCCCGGCCCGCCCGCCGCGTCGGGCGGTGGCGGTGGCGGCAGGCGCGACTCGGCCGTGGCCCACGTGTCCTCGTCGCTGTACTCGCTGTCGTGGCCGCTTCCGGCCGAACCCGGCGCCGCCGTTGCTGCTGCTGCTGCCGCCGCCGTGGCGGTGGAGCCACCGACACTCCCAGCGACTTGGGCGCGTCCGCCATGGCGGGCAGGCTCCTCCCGCACCGTGGGCTCCGCTGCGTGCTCCGCAGCCTCCGCCGCCGGTTTCCGCTCCGGCTCGCTTGCGTCGTCGTCTGACGATAGCGAGATGACGGAGGGCGGGCGGCGGAACCTCGGCGGGGAAGAAGCCGCCGGCCTGGCCAGCCCCTCCTCTCCTCTGCCGGAGCGGCGGGGCGGCGAGCGGGCTGCGCTCCTCTCCCGCCGGGCCGGGGCGCGGTTCTGTGTTGTTGCCTGCTGTTTCTCAAAGCCGTGCTTGACGAACCCGAGGATGGTCGTCTGCTTTGTCTTGTCGGCACTGCTGCCGCTGTGGGCGTGGCCGGCTCCCGTTGTCCTCACAGCAGATGTTGAGTCTGGAGCGGAAGAGAGATTCAGACGCTCCATCATTCTCGTAGGGCTCGTCTCCGACGAGGAAGTGCCAGAAGATATGCGCTTCCGGTGGCTGGTGGAGGCATGTGGAGGCGACAAGGACAGCATGTGCGGATCTGGGTCGTCGAATGAGTTCTCGGGCATTGGAGGCACTGCGTGCTCCCTCAAGGACGACGATGAAGATGTTAGAGGAAGAGGCTGTGGAGACGCGGGAGCCGATGGTGGGCTAGATGAGAAAGCAACCGGTTTCCAACGTGGTGGCGGCGAGCGATGGCATAGCGGGGGAGAACAAGAGCCATTATCAGCAGCACCATCTCGGCCCGATTCTTTAGGGGTCCTGCGGGTAACGATGTTGATACTATTATTATAGCTTGCATTTTTTGAACTGCCTGTTGTAGTCCCAGCACTCGAAATCACTGAGGAGGAAGGAGTTCTGTCGGTTGTTGGGCTTCTTGATCTTGCGTGCTCCACGGCTGGCGGTAGCGAAGGCTCCCCAGCCGAGTTGGTAGCATCCTTTGGGGTGCCTCTTTTGATTGTCTTTGTTTGCTTGCTGCTGCTAATGGAACAATCTTCGACACGCTCTCGAATTTCCTTCAACTGGACATTGATGAGAGAGCTTGTCTGTCGTGTTGCCGGCGAGTCCGACTCGGGATTTGGTGACCCGTGGCTTGAGAGGCCGTCGAGACGGTCAGGGAGAATGCCTGGCTTCGCGGAGCCCAGTCCTGTGGGTGCAGATACCTTCTTTGTGGCTTTCAGGTACCTCTCCATTGTATGGCTGGGCTCTGGCGCGGCCTTTGTTGTCCTGGTCCTCGTCGCCTTGGGTGCTGATGCCGCCGTCTTCTTCTTTGGTGCTGATGCTACCGCCCTTTTCGCCCCCTGCTCCGCCTCCCAGTTTCTCAACACCTCGGGAGACCCAAGCCTAACTACAGATTCGGGGATCCAGACCACATCGGGCTGGGACGGGTCAAAGACCTTTTTAGGCCCGCCACCCTGCGTGGAGCCTGGCGCCTCGGCATCTTCAAACTCATCATCGCTGTTGAGAGCCAGGCCGCCGCGCCCGTGTGCCTCTGGGGCCTCGTCTGGTTCTGCGTCGAGGTCTATGTCGACGACGGCCAGCGGCAGAAACGACACGCGCAGCTCGGGAATCCGTCCGCTGCTGGGGTGGTCGACACGCCGTTTCAGTATGGCTTCCACCAGGCAATCTTGCTGCAGCGACGGCAGCAGCATCTTCTGCACGAGGAGGCTGGGGCCTAGTACGCGAATAAACTTGATTGCGCCGCCCTTGCCAGTCCAGTCGAACGTGTTGGCGGTAAAGTCCCGCAACCCCAGAAGATTCATGTCGCCGCCAACAAGGGCATCAGAGAAGGAAATCTTGAGCCTCTCGAGCGCAGCATCCCGGGAAACCACGGGGTGCGTGTAGTAACCCAGAACTTCCATGTCGGGGAAATCGTCCGGTATCGCAGCGGCTACAGCCTTGTTCCGTCTGCTAAAGGACCCGCTAACGTTGTCGGCCAGATCCCGCCTGAGGCCCTCGCGCCACGCGGCGAGGACGGCCGGCGGGTCGGAGCGCTTGATCTTGCAGAGAGACCTGCCGAACCCGGCGCGGGCGGCCTGGCACGCAACCTTGACACCGCAGCCGGGGATGCCCTCCGGGTCGTAGTCGCCGCCACTCATCAGGGCGACGAGCACCATACCCTCACGGTCGAGACCCGCAGCGTCCGGGCGCGCGATGGCGGCCGAGTCGTAGACGGTGACGTGTGTGGGCGGGCCGCTGCTGCCGCTCCCCTTCTCCTTTTCGGCGGACCAGCTGCGCAGGGTGCGGGTGCAGCCGAACATGATGGTGTCGACGTCCTCGCTGAGCACGGCGTCGACGATGCCGCGGCGCTGCAGCAGGGCGCACTCGGCCTCGGCCTCGCCCGGCGCGTCGTGGGCGTAGAAGCCGAACAGGCGGATCAGCTGCTTGGCCATGGCGGTGGACACGACGTTTCCGCCGCTCCGGCCGCCGCCCGTACGGCGGCCGCGCTTCATGGCGGGCTTGTTCGGGCCGTCAAAGACGAAAATGGGCTTGATGGTGTGGCTCTGCAGGCGGACGAGGCGGTAGAAGAGCGTGCGGATGGCCGGGTTGGAGCCGCCCTTGGCCGCCTGTGCCTGGAACTGCCATATCGATATGTCGATGGCCAGCCGCAGGGGGCGTCCTGTCTCCTCCAGGGTCTGGACGGCGAGCTTGGACAGGGCGATACGGTCCCCCGGGCCAATCTCTTGGTAGATACTTGACGTGATGGTGTTAGCTCCGTGGTTGTATCCATGGAAGCGCGCCGGCATCATGCACATACCCCGGAATACCCATCCTGGGTGAGACGCTAGGTCAGTGAGACGCTACGATCAGTGAGAAATAGACACTGGAGCGAATGGCAGCCAAGAAAGATGGGAGCAAGAAACGAAGCCGGCTCAAGGCAGGCGAACGACAATATCAGTGTTCCATTGTCAGCATATCAAGGAAGTAGCTAATGTTATTTTATAAAAGAAAACTCGGGACCTCGGTTTAGGCCCTCAGTCTTGAGAGCTGAGTTGGGGTGAAAATAGTCGATTGAGATGGAGCCATGAGTGAAGTCGGTGACTATGCATTTAAGTGGGGCTTCCCTCCATAGCACTGGTTTCTACGGGGATGTGGGCCAAACAGCCCATAGCGAATTGAGCGAAGAACCCAACATGAGGAAGTCCTAGCACTCAAGCTATCCTGGCCTGGCTGAGGTGCCTGGGCTACCACATTGAACGTCAGCCCCGAACTTGGAGCCTATCGCCAACTGTGTGTCTTTTGTCACAGTCTCTGGTCCCAGCCCTGGGCCCTTGACAACCCCTCGCATGCGGGGCCTTTCCTGAGCAAACAGCCGCAACCATGGCCAGCACCCCCGGCCCAAGCCTCGCCCACCGCTCCGTGGCCAACATCCGGACCGGTGCCGGCGCCGGATCGCCCTCCGGAGCCGGCACTCCCGGAGTGGCGAGCGCTACCGGCAGCGCTGGCGGGGGCCCGGTCAGCCCGCACACGCCGCTGCGCGCCGGCATGTCGCCCGCCTTTGCCTCGCCCTCGAGTCTGCGCGCCGAGGAGGACACCATCGTCGTCGAGCTGGGCTCGCGCCGCCTCCGCGTCGGCTTTGCGGGCGACCCATCCCCCAAGGCCATCATCGAGTTCGGCCCAGACCAGGCACGCCGCCTCGGCGACTTCCGCCACTGGGACCCAAAGAGCCAGCAGCAGCAGGTACTAACTCCCTGGGGCGATGACCATGAGCTGTGGCGCCTCGATATGAGAGGGCTTGACCTGGGCCTGGTGGCCGACAAGCTCGAACGCGGTTTGAGGGAGGCCTTCTCTACGTGAGTCTTGGGTTTTGCCGTCACTTTTACCTTGATATGCGCAACCGCTCACGCCGCCACCTCCCCCAGCCACCTCCTCATCGACTCGCGCCCACGCAAGGTTGTGCTCGCGCTGCCGCCAATGATGCCAGTGCCTCTGCTTTCAGCGACGCTCGACACGGTCTTCAGCCGCTTTCTAGCGCCCATCATCTCGCTGCTGTCGTCGCCCGTCTCGACCGCCTTTGTCGGCGGCGTGCGCTCCGCTCTGGTCGTCGACGTGGGCTGGCACGAAGCCGTCGTCACTGCCGTCTACGAGTACCGCGAGGTCGCCTGCACCCGCAGCGTCCGCGCCGGCAAGGCCTTGGTTCACGAGACCCACGGCCTTCTCGCCCGCGCGGTTGCCGCCCAGGACGGCAGTGGCGACTCTACGGACGATTCCGATGGGAGCAATACCAAGCGCGTCGTCAGCTTTGCCGAGTGCGAGGACGTTGTTGCCCGAGTGGTTTGGTGCAAGCCCGCAGTCGACAACGGCAACGCCACCAAGGAGGAGTCATCGCCTGACGGCCTTACTACTGTCGCAGAGCAGGACGAGTCCGACACCGAGACGCCGCCACCACCACCACCACCTGCACCAGCGGACTCGCCCACAGACCTGGCCGGGGACAGCGTCAGCATCCCTTTGACATCAACACGCCCGCCAACCACGGTGACGCTCCCCTTTGAGCAGCTCGCAGAGCCGTGCGAGCGCGCCTTCTTCGAGAAGCAGTGCTCGCGGGCCAGCTTCGACGACGAGGAGCTGCCGCTGCATCTTCTCGTCTACGAACACCTGGCGGCCCTGCCCATGGACGTGCGCAGCGTGTGCATGTCCCGCATAATCTTCACGGGCGGCTGCGCCGGCGTCCTGGGCCTGCGCGGCCGCGTCTTTGACGAGGTCGACCGCCTCGTCCGCCGCTGGGGCTGGGACGTCGTGCGTGGCAAGATGGTCGACAAACGCCGCGCCGAGGGCCGCCCCAAAGCGGCCAATAGCGGCGGCGGCGACGACGGCGGATCCGATCCCGCCGAGGCAGGCGGAGGAGACGCCGGAAATGGCGATGCCAACAAGCCCTCGGGGGGTCAAGAGGAGGACGGCGTGTGGCACGACGCGGCCAACGCGGTGCCGGCCCCGGACCCGATCGAGGCGCACATGCGCCGCCAGCAGCAGCAACAGCAGCAGCAACAGCAGAACGCCAAAACGGGCGCCGCCGCCGCGCGCAAGCTGGCGGAGCCTCCGGAGGCGGGCGACCTGCGCGCCATCGAGTCCCTGGGACCCTGGGCCGGGGCGAGCCTGCTGTCGCAGCTCCGGGCGCCGGCCATCGCGACCATCGACCGGGAGCTGTGGCTGCAGCAGGGCGCGGCGGGCGCGTCGAGGGCGGCCGAGGTCGACCTCAAGGCCCAGCACCGGCAGAGCATGCGGCCCGGCGAGTTCATCAGCCGCGCCACGGCCGGCGGCGCCACCAACAACACGAACTGGACGCTCGGGGTTTGGGGGGCTCTTCAGTGATGGCGCTTTTGCTGCCGGACATGTTTATGGCTTGGGAGCGAGGAGGGTGCCGTCTCCCCTATCATGATACCCTGGGGAAAGTGTGCATTGCATGTTGTTTTGTCGGGGCGTGCAACTTGTTAGCTGCCTTCTATTCCAGACAATGGCAAGTTTATGTGACAACTGTTCCCCCTGTCTCTTTGTTTTAGTTTTGCCGTTGTTACGCCCACTTGCCTTTGGTGTTGTCGAGGCACTAGACGGAGGTACCGGACGGAAGCCCTTATCTCATGGCCTCGATTCATCACTGCCGACCCGCAATCGGACTCGACATGGACTACAGGTCCCCGACATAGACCAACCGACCCGGCACCCGCTCGAACCTTTGACGCCACAGACATGCTAATAGTCGCAAAGGCCTGGCCCAGACACCGTATCCGCATTCAGTCAGGTCTCAGAGTCGCGAAGAGGACATTTACTAGAACAGCCTCGCTCAAGATGCCCCTCACAGTTGGTCCCTCCGCCCCTCGTTCCATTGTTCAACCTAGAGACACTGTGATTGTCGGGTTGGAGAAAGAGGTTCGAAAAAGTTGGTTGAAAAGAGAGAAAAAAAAGACAAGAAAATATTTCTTCGGTAGCATAACTTATGGAAAAAAAAAAAACAAGCGACAAAAAAAGTCTGGATAAGCTCTAGGAGTTTCGAATGTGTAAACCCCAGAGCTACAGATACAACCTTGCAGGTGGTGTTCCCTTCAGGAAGTGAGATACCGTTACACTACGCAGACAGATGGTATGTTAACAACCACCCCTTCGACCTTGCCTTTAAAGCCTAGCACCGTGACCTGTTCTGATGGCATTGTTTGATGCTGGCCTGGTCCGAGCTTCCGAGGTGTTCTTTCAGCCTCGGGTTGCCGCAGCTCGAGGACCCACCAACAAAGCAAAGATCAAGCGGGAAACATAAAATAGCCCGTAGCCCGTTGTCATTACCACACACACAACTGGTCAACCGACTGATATATCGTGATATCCAGGCCATTGGACAGATCTGCTCCACCCCCTCCATGGAACACAACTTGCAGCAGTGCGTTCAGCTGGTCAAGGAGGCCTCGGCGGCCGGCGCAAAAGTAACTCGCTGGTGTCCTCCCTGTAACACCGGTCTTCTCGCTTGGTCAGGATCATTGTTGCCGCCAAGTGTCGACCAATGACAAAGGGGCTCTCTTTCTTCAGACGGGGAACAGGCCCTGTTCAAACCCGACCTCCCCGCACGGATGGCGCGGCTGACTGGCTCCTCCCACGTGCGCCGCCCCCAGGTCCTCTTCCTCCCGGAAGCATCCGACTACATCGCCGAGAACCGCGAGCAGTCCCTCGCGCTCGCGCGGCCCGAGTCCTCGTCCCTGTTCGTGCTGGGCCTGCAGGCCGCGGCGCGGGAGCACGGCGTCGACGTCAACGTCGGTATCCACGTGTCGGCCCCCGCCCCCGCCTCCGACGGGACCAACCAGAGGCTCCTTGACCGCACCATCCACATCACGGGCAGCAGCGGCACGATCGACGCGCGCGGCACCTACGACAAGCTCCACCTGTTCGACTACGGCGCGCTGCGCGAGTCGGCGCACACGGCGGCCGGCGCGGCCCTGACCCCGCCCTTTGACACGCCCGTCGGCCGCGTCGGCGCCCAGACGTGCTTCGACCTGCGCTTCCCCGAGCCCGCCCTCACCCTGGCCCGCTGGGGGGATCCGCGGCCGCGACGACCAGGGGCGGGGGGGCCGGCGCAGGTCCTGACGCACCCGTCCGCCTTCACGGTGCCGACGGGGCTGGCGCACTGGGAGGTGCTGCTGCTGCTGCGCGCGCGCGCGCCGTCGAGGCGCAGTGCTTCGTGGTCGCCGCCGCCCAGGTCGGCGTCCACCACCACGGGCCGGGCCGGGCGGCAGGGTCAGCTTCGGGCGCAGCATGGCCGTCGATCCCTGGGGGCCGCGTCCTGTGCGCCCTGCCCGAGGTCGGGGCCGGCGGCGAGGTGCCCGAGGCCGCGGCGGCGCCCGCGCTCGGCGTCTTTGACGTCGATCTCGGCGAGTGGGAGCGCGTTAGGGATCGGATGCCGCTTGTGAGACGGACGTGAGTGATTTTTTCTTCTTCTTTTCATCCTACATCACTCACCACCCCTTGCGCTAGGCCGCACATTCTCACCCCTCCCTTGCTCATTCAGCTTTCGGGCTCCCTTTCCCAGAAAAATAAATCCCCCGGCGTCCATATTTGCTTTTTTTGTTTCTTTCTTTTTTGCTCCCCGGCTCGCGATTGCTGACGCAGGTACAACAATCACAATCCTTCCTCCCTTGGGGTCTGTGATGTGCTGCATGGGTTGCAGCGACGTCTACCCGGAACTGTGATCCGGGCCACTCGGGGTGGTGTGATGGATGTGACGCATGGCATCCCCGACTGCTCACCCCCAAATCGGCTTCCTTTCCTGGCATATCCAGCGACTCGGCACCCTGCTGTCATTGCAAGGGGCCAGGCAGACTCGGCGGTATCATTATGATCAAGTCCAGACACTCACCAACCAAGGCTTTGTTCTTATATCATTTGTCAATCGACTGCCTTTTATTTGCCCTGACGTATGGGGCCGCGGCCTTGAACTGTCACATTTTTTCTGCTGCCCCTTCCCAAACACGAACATGTTCATTCACCACAACACCACCCAGAGCCAAGGGGGAAAAAAAGACAGGCCCGTCCCACAGCACCGGGAGACGCTGCGTCGTCGTCGCTGCGGGTCGGTCGATCAATGGAATGGCCTGGGTTGCAAGGAACGACCCCTGCCTGGCTCTGACGGAAGCGATGGCCTGGTTCCCGTCGAGGGCTTGGCTCGCAAGCAGGGCTCGAAGCAACAACAGTCTTGGCCTGCCGCCGTTGGACGCACACCCTGATGACCCTTTTCTTCTTTTTGCATTTCCCATATCGGTCGAGTCGGGCTGGACATTTGTGAGAAGTCGATCAACAAGGGATGGGGAGAGCTGACTGGTAGCCGAGCGCAGGACCCCTCTGTCTCGGCGATCGCTCCACCCCATCGTGCGGTCCTGGAGATCATGAGAGGAAAGTAACCCCCTGGGCGGCCAACAACAGGACAAGACTGGCCCATCTCGGTAACCTATCGCGATCAACCATCCAACCGGCCTTGATTTCTTCTTTTTTGCTGGCGGCGAGCAGAAAGACGCCTTCCCGCCTAGAACCAATTTGTGCCCGATGTTCCCGGCCGATGTGGCTTGGTCGCCTCTGCTTTTGTTGGCAAGCTGAAACACGGCTCACCCCACAACGACCTGTCAAAAAGAGAGGCATTGGAGATGGGATTCGATAATCAAATACACGAGATAAAATGAATCAATAAAGTGAAACAAAAAAGAAAAAAGAAAAAAAAAATAAGCGAAGCAGTTGGAATTTGACAGCAGAGGGAGTGCGCGTCCAGCAGCAACCAACCCCCTCCGCCCTCGCTCGCTTGCAGCTGCTTTCGGTTTTGTTGAGGAGACACAAGGAGGAAAACAGGGCGGGCGGGAAGCGAGCGATCGTCGTCCAATGTATCAGACATGACAGAGAGGGCGGACGACAAGGACCGGCGGAGTGGCAGGTATAACTGAGGTCACGACGCAGCACGACCAGGTCAGCGGATCAAAGGGCCCTCGCCACGACCCGAAGATGAAGGGCGGCCGTGATGGCGATCTTGTAAAGCCGTCGCGTGTATATTGGTTTCGTGGCAGAGCGGCATGGTTGGAAAATCAATAAGCAAAACCTATCACAGTCGAGGCAAAGAATGGAAACCAGATTCTAGTCGGCGACTTGGCAGCGACAAAGAAAACAAGCCCATCTGTCCATAATGGAGGATCCGAAAGCAGCACGAGCACCCGACGGAAAAAGCAAGGGCCGGGAAATGGGATGTGCAGGCACGCATCCCCAGGCTGAGGATCCATTGAGCTGTCACTTTTTTGGTGACTCGGACGAGACATTCACTCCTCTTTGGGTGAGTTGTTTTTTATTTTATTTTATTTTATTATTGTTATTTATTTTATTTTATTCTCAGGCGATTGAATTCCCTGGGATTTACCTTTACCGTATGTCCTCTCCACTTCTCCTGTTTTGCACGCCTGTCCGCTCCATCTCGATGGCAATGCTTCCGCGGACCAGTTGAGGGTTCATGATTTTTTTTTATCTTCTGTTTGGCTCATCGTCGTGACCCCTTTTCACCACGCGGCGGTGCCTGCCAATGATTACCCGCTCCCCGTTCCCCCCGTCTTCCCTGTCATTGGTCCCGGCTCTGCGGTCCCTGATGCAGTGGTGATCAAAAAGGGGTTAAGTGGGGGGTGGGCGTGTTATTTGTGCTGGTTGGCGTGGTGGGTGTTGTAGGCGGACGAACGCGTTTGAGCTCTGCTGCTTCCCTGTGACCTGGCTTATCCTTTTGTTATCAACCCTCACCTCTAAAAAAAAAAAAAAAAAAAAAGTCACCGTCATTGCTTTCTTCTTTTTCCATTCCAGTCGCCCATCCATGTCCCAGCTTCCAACTTCCAGCGAGCTAGCCCCTGGGGCTAGAATGCGCGGCGGCAGCATGGAGGGCCTGCGCACTTGCCCGCTCCTCCTCCATTAACCTTGCATTAGCTCCCATTTTTCAGCCAAAGCCAAGGAGCCGGGTCGTTGGTCCGTCGGCCTTGTGCGCGGACACCCCTGAACAATCCTATTGATACAATCCTATTGATCTCGAGGGTGGGTGTGCGGTGCGTGCGCTGTGTGCGGTTGTTGTTGGTTGCTTTTGTGTGTTTGATCTTTGTTGCTTTTTTTTCTTCTCTCTCTCTCTCCTCCCCCGACTTTTGAGTAAGGTGATCTGTCATGTCTTTCTCGTCGTTGTATCTTTTCCCGACCCCTCGCACAGGTTTTGCATTCCTGTGTGACAAAGCCCAGCCAGCAGCCCCCCCGACCTTGCTCGACCTCGGCTCTCCCTCGGGCCCTTGCATGAGCGAACGGCCGCTTGGTCGAGTCTGTTTCGGTCAGCTGCGCATCGCCCGCCGCTCATTGTTTCCAGTTTAATGATTTTATCCCGGCTATCCTCTATTTTATCTTATCCCGCTCTGTTCGTTACTTGTGTCCGCTCGCCCTCACCCCCTCCTTTTTAGCGCGCACGTTTCGCCATCAGCTAGAAGCAACGAGATAGCCTTCGTTTTTGTTTTTTTTTGCTAGTCAGCAACCCTATCGCTCACCGTCTGAGCTGTCCGTCCGCGCGCGCTCCCACCGAACATGGCCAAAACCTACGCACCGCCGATTTTTTTTTTGGCTGTAATTCTGCATGGCCGATGGCACCCGCGTTTGCCTATGGGGAAAAAAAATAAACCAAATTTAACGAGTGAGGGGTGTGTGCGCGCGCGCGGGCGCGTGTGTGTGTGTGTGTACTGTGCGTTGTGCGTGTATGGTATGTGCGTGGACTTGCGCCTATGGCTGGCCAGTAGTACTGGCTGTGTGTCCTCGCCGCTGCGTTTGTTTTTGTCCTTTGTGGATGGACGAACGAATGAAGCGGACGGGAACGTGCACCATTCCCTTTCGTTCGTTTTCGTTTTTTTTTTTTGTTGCTCCTCCCACCCCAGACCACCAACCCCGTCACACGAGAATATGCCGGTCGCACGACGAATTGGAGCCCGCGGGGAGCACGCGAGACGAAAGGGTACTCGATGCGCAGTTCCATCTGGTGTAGCCAGCCTCATTTCCCGATTTAGCACCGATCAACGACGTAGAGCCAACTGCGAAAGGGGGGGAGGAGCTTTGCTGGGTCTTTGCCAGTGGTAAAAGGGGGAGAGAGAAAATGACATGAACACGTCCGTCTCCTGCGTTGTGTCCAAGCTCCCGCTGCTGCTGCTGCGTCTGCTCAGCCCAGACATGGCCCAGTCATGTACTAGGTTTTTGATGTCCGACCAAACAAGGTAGCAAGAACAAGAAAAGATACAAAAATGGACATGGAGACCTGTAACCATTGGGGGACATCATGATCGTCCTGCACGTCTGTCTGTCCACCCCGGATTTTTGTCAAGCTCGCTTGGGCGCGCGCGCACTGCTGGCGGGCCTCCCATCGCTCCTAAGTACTTTCCCACACGCTCGCTCTAGACTTAACGGTTAATAAAAAAACAAGGAGGGGGACGGACGGGCTGGAGGATCCGATCCGGGTCATGGGACTGGGCCAAGCTGTGTGCCCTCTCGCTTCTCGAGCTGCCTGGTAAATTGCACGGGCGCCCTTGTTTGATGACGGGCCGGCCTGCTTTTGCTGCTACCCAACTCTCACCCCCCAATGGACTCGTCGCTCGTCGTCGTCGCATCCTGTTCGTTTTAGCCGGTCCTACTTGTGCGTGTTTGCTTCTTTTATGATTTTTTTGTCTCTCTTTCCTTCTCTGTAATATCAGCCCACCCACCTAATTTTTTTGGTTGCCCATGCTCCATGGTCAGAGTCAGCTCATCAAATGAAGCCGGAGAATGCCCTTGGCGCCAATCTAGTGCGTCATTGACGGTCACAATGTATCCCGGACTTCTCAGGGGGCACAAACCCCCAAGGTGTTACGCGCCAAGGCAGCGGTGTGCGGTGAGCTGTGCAGCACGTCACGTAGCATTGAGCCCGAGAGCGTGGGAGAAGGTGAAAATAAACTTCGAGTGTGAGCAAGCATAGGAACAGGATTATGGTGCGAGCACGTAGTTGAATTGTACTTGTACAAAGTCTAATAGTAATAAAAGTAGTCGAAAACAATGGGTATCTCTCTCTTCTCTTCAAGGCGAGGAACCGGGCCCAGGATCTGGGTCTGCCGAATATTCCAATAGCCTCGTGCATCCAAAATGATTGAACAGCGCTGTGAACAAACGAGAAGGATAGATGGGAGTGGTGTGTGCGAACGAAAAGAAAGAAAGCATTCGATCCCTCACCTCCCCGCGAAGGGAGGGCTGGAGGGAGCCCAAGCGAGGAGCGAAAGGAAAAAGCAAGGGGAAAAAAACCCAAACCGCAAGTCTATATGCATAACCCAAAACAGAGACATTTTGTTTTCCCAACCTGGCGAGCCAATTTTTAATAATCCAATCCCATGTATATCCCAGCATTATATGGGGCTCGCGTCCCCTGTCGCGTCGTCTTTTTTTTTGTAGCCAGAATGGGCCCAACGACAGCCTGGAATTCCTCTCCGAGGAGCCAAGACGCGGAATTCGTCGGAAGGGATTGGGCGGACCGGACACGTCGTTGGTAGGAATCGGTCGAGAAATGTGGATTGTTCTCTTGGACGCGTGTCGCCTGTTCTGTTTTGTTGATTGTTGCCGAATGACCCCGTAAAGGAAAATGTGATTTTGGTAGCCGAGAGAAAAGCGAATCCGATACCGTCTATAGTTGAACGCCGCGCGAGACCGAAAAGAGAAAATAGTGGGGGGAGAAACACAGCTGAAAAGGGACAGTCGAGAATGGGACAGAGGCCAAAGCGGAATGCGCGGCGAGGGAAGTCGTCTCCCTTTGAATGCCTCGGTTGAGACCTCGCCACGATTGGCTGCAATCTTGATCTCTGTTTGCCACCCTGGCGACCTGCTGCTGGGAAGCAAAGTCGGGCTGAGACGGTGTGTTGTGTGTGTGTGTGTGTACGTGTGCGTGGTGGCGGCGAGCCAGAAAATGTATTCCTCAAAACAATGATAGGAAATAAGAGTATAGGAAAGACGGGATTAAAACGTGTGTAAGGTTGATCCGATATCCGGAAAGCGAGGCATATCGAGCCGGTCGGGAGGAAGAGAACCAAAAATTGAACAGGCTTGCGCTTGATGGTGTACAAGAAAAGTGGGCGGTGCAGGCGCGTCGTTGGTTGCGGATGCGGTCCGGAATTACAAGGAGTTGTGTTGTTGTTGTACAGCTGACGGTAGCGTTGTTTAATGATTGACTTGGTGGTCAAAAGGTGGTGAGCCCTGTTGCAGAAGGGCGAAGTAGGCCAGTGTCGATGTTGGAGAATGGCAGGAAGGGGAGGGTCCACCGTGGTCAGGCAGGGCCGCCGTGTTGATCGCCGACACACTGGGGTATCGAGTCAAAGAGAGACAGACGGAATAAAATGTGTGCGGCTTTAGGTTTTCGAAAATGCGGTGTCATATGCACGACGTGGTTGGGTAGACGCCGTGCAGACAGACACACAAAAAACCTGCGACGTCGGCCGATTTGACCAAAGTGCGCCAGGACAAGTCCGGCACGGAGGGCGGGGAGGACCTTCTTTGTCGACACCCGCCGGCGGTTCGAGCCTCTGTAGGCTGCTCCGGGATGGATGGGCCACGCATGGAAGGCCTTACCTGGGCTTCGGCGGGGGGGGCTTGGGCACACCCGTGGTGTCGTATGCGCCACGACCCATGGGCGTGGCGTATTGTGTGCTCGAGGCGGCCATTGTGGTGGTGAACTGCGGGAGAGAACGGGGCGTCTCTGGGGCAGGGAAGAAGCCTAAGGCGGAGAGAGGAGAGTCTTGTGTAAGTCCCATGGTCGCTAAGGTTTGTCTGTGGATGGGGGTAGACGGCTTTGTGTGATGAGGGGATGGGGGAAATCTTCTCCCCGGACATCAAAACGTGACGGCACCCACGGCCGGTCTTATATCCATCCACCTGAACACGGTGATGGGGACCGGTGTGCGCATGTCAACGCCATAAAAATAAAAAATAAAAAAGGTATCGTTGGGCAAAAATAAAGCCAGAGCGAAAGGGGGTACGAGCGATGGGCAGGGGGATGCCGACAGCAAATCCCGCTGTCCCGACCTGGGTTTGGACGGACGGGGTGGACCAGGTCTGGTTGGGCAGGATTTTTTTCTGACTCACCAAAAGAAAAAAAATAAGGGTTTGCTTTTTTCCCTCTTTGAGCAGTCAAGGGCCGCTAGGATTGGTAGCAAGGGGTTGCGCGAGGCGGTGTTGCTGCAGCACGCGGAGAGCGGAGGGGACCAAATAAAAAAAAGTCTTGGGTTGTTGTGTTGTCAGACCCTCTCAGGTCTATCTCCTCCGTTTCTGGACTCCCTGTCGGAGGATTGCTTCGCGGCAAGGTACGGAGTTCGACGATGAGTGTCAGGGACCCCAGGGCAGCTGAAGGCTCTAGGCAGCGCCGGAAAACGCGGGTGAGACCGTCTTTGGTCTTTCACAGCCTCTCTGACAAGTTTCTGCTGCTGCTGCTGCTGCTGCACGGTCGACGAGGGTTCGGAAGTCGATCGTTGCGGTCGAGTGCGTTGACTCGGCTGGCGCTATCTTCGAATGGCGGTCGGGTCGATTGCTGCGCTGTCAGGAACGTTCTGCAGGAGGCGGCAGGTGGGGACGATGCAGCTCGAGGTGTGGATCTAGCCTGGGACGGCAGAAAAAAATGGTGTCGGCCTAGGCGAAGGGGGTTCGTCGTTGTTGGTACAAAGCGAAGGTCGGTGACGGGCTGACGTTGGCGTGGCTGCTGCGGGTTGCAGGAAACGGTGGAAATCGATGGGGAAGTTTTGCACCTCGTGGTTGTTCTAATATTCTACACTGCGACAGGGAAAGGACGCAAACAAGAGACAGGAGAAGACTGTATTAGGAGGAGATAACCTCTAAAATGTTGTGTGAAGACGGCAGGACGGAAGAGGAGAGGGAAAGTTAAGGGGTGTGTCTGTGTCTTATATGAATCGTCTGGGGGATTATTTTCTGGCTGCCGGACCCCTTCGTTTGGGATGGCGCGCCGCACACACGCTCTGTCTTTCTTTCTCACACACACACACACACACACGCTTCCCTAGCCCAGCACCCGAACCGCACACAGCACCCTCATCGCCCAGACGGGTTGCCCATTTCCCCTTTCCGTAGCTGGCGTCAAGGTTGCGGTCCCCGGTCGGGCTTGGTCTCTCCCAATTCACATCCATGTCGGGGGTGTGGCCCGCCAGAGGCAGCCGAATGTGTGCGCTATGGGCTGGCTGGGACAGCGGGTGTACCTGACCTGAAAGAAGAACGGGTCCACCACCCCCCCTGGTTGAGTGTACCTGAACCTAGCCTCTTTTTTTTTTTTTTTTCTCACTCTCCTTGCCTGGCATGCACCCTAGCTGATCCGAACAAGTTGTACCGGGATGTACGGCACACCTGGGTCGTTTCTGGTCTCTCTGGCCACACCCCCCAGCAGGGGGATAAGGGGGGTGTGTATATGCTCGCGCGCTGGTCTGTCAAATTTAGGCCCCAGGACCTGGGGGAGACAGGGCAGGTCGCGGCCCAGCGTCGCTCTGGCGCTCGCCGACTTCGTGCGTTAGTCCCGTTAGGGCAGTGGGTGGAGTTCAACAGCATTTCGGGGCAGGGTCCGGGAGAAATGGAGCTTAGCGCGAGCCAAACAAGGCTCAGTCCAATTTTCTGGCCCCAGCACTTCCCAGTCCCCTTTGTTGCCATTCCACGTCCCTTTTTTCCATCTCCTGGGGCCCTGTTTTGGAAGCCCTGCTCGAACTTTGCCAGAAGCCGCAGAAGCCTTCGGTCGCCAGGGCCAGGCGGGGCGGGGGGGTTACCTAGGTAGGTAGGGGAAGGGAAGCTGTGGAGAATGGCGCTCCCACTTATCAATCAAATTTGTCCAGACGAGCGCCGCCGTCCTTCCTGATGAGGCCGACGGGCCAGCCCACCCGGACCAACAAACACGTCGACTGGGAAATTTGTGCATTGCTTTGACATTTTGACATTGTTTGGCATTTGCCTTATCCTTCTTCATTGCGGTTATGACCTGCCGATTTTCCCTGGGGGGTGCGTGACTAAAGCCCTGCGACTGACCGAAGCCTGTTTTTTCCGCGCGGCCTTTCTTTCACCTTTTTGATTGCCCGCGAGGCACCACCAAGCCCTGCCCTCGGCGCCGCCTCTGCGGTCCCATTCGCCCACGCCCTTGTTTTGCCTCCGCCAACTGAAGTAACCGGGGGGAGCTAACTGAGTAGCTGTCCAGCCTCGGCTGGCACCCTTCCACGTCCCAATCGGAGAGCCGCGCTGGGCCTCGCGTGTGACGTTGGATGTTCCGCGGTTCGCTCCTTGTGCTCGTCACCTTTATTTGGCTTTTGCTCTTTGCTTATTCTCTCACTCTCTCCCGTCTCTCTCTCTCTCTCTCTCCCAGCCTTTACATCGTGGCGCAATCGGCTGTGCCCCCTAGTCTCGGCTCAAATTGAGTACCGGCAGCCTATCCTAGCCCCCCAGGCCGCTCACGTTCCGGCCGACTCACGACCTAGCAGGGCGCCATGTTCGCCTTGCCTCCTGCTCGCCTGTGCTTCGGATTTCCCTTGGACCCTCTCACCCCATGGTTACCAGCTGTCCGGAAATACAGGCATTTGTGCCGCAGGCCGCATGTCGCAGCAAATAGCGGGCAGGGACTATAATAACAACAACCCTAGCCTGGTCGCAGAAGAAAAAAATTTCCATTGCCTTCCGTCTCATCAAAGGCGGGTCTAAATACACGCCAACAAGGATCAAGGCGCCGCGGAAGCCTTGTTTGATAGCGCGGCAGACCATCCGGTAGAAATGTGCAAAGCATAGCGACTCGTGGGATGTGGGAAACAAGCACCAAGATACACCAGAAAAAGGAAAGAAGAAACGATGGGGGCAGAAGGATCCGAACACGGGCCTGTTCCTATTCCAAGATGCTAGTGACCGGTGTAACGCCGAAAATGAGAATCGTCCACCGGGCAGAACAAAATGGGCGCCGTCGTCGATGCTAAGTATCCTTAGCTGGGCCTCTACCGTGTAGACTGTGAGGCTAGCTGTGCACAAGCAAACGCCTCACTTTGCTTTTTTTCGGGAGACGAAAACGTAGATCCTTCAGGACCGCATCCTCGGGATTGGGGGCTGAGGCAGAAAGAAAGGAGTTGATAAATGATGGAGAGAGGGAATAAAGGTACAAACAGCAACAACACGGCACGGCTGGCACGGCTACTACATGTTGTTGCTGTTGCCTCCCGATCGCGCCACCATGCCACCATCGGCGACACCCCACGGCTGATTACCTCAGGCGGCAGGACAGGACAAGGCATGGCGATGGGGACACACACAGTCAGACAGGACGACGTCCTTGTGCATGCAAAAAAGTCATACCACACCTCACGGGCAAGCGAGAGCCCAGGAGGCCGGGAAGGGACTAGGCCTAAAACGCGGCCAATTGGCCTGGACGGATTTCCGTTTGGTCGCTTATCACCCGCAAGCCACCACCCACTTCTCTGGAACGATGGTAGGGGTTCGGGGTAGAAAAGGGGGGGGGGGGCGTGCGTCGACTAACGAGAGAGGGAAAGGAGCTGTTGCCTGTACATGTAGCCTAACCATAAAGACAAGCCCGCGGGTGGCGGGAGGGGATCAGGGAGAAGGGAGAGAGAAAAAGAAATACAAGACAAAAACAAGAAACGGAAACAAAAAAGCAAAGAAACAAACGCTACCAGCAGGTCCAGAACATTTGGGCGCGCAAGATTGAGATGACAAGGCAATCCCGACCAGGCATGACAGACGAGGCTGCACAAGCTGGGCTATGCCTAATTTCAATGTTTAGC